ACACATACACACACACACACACACACACACACACACACACACACACAGATGCATATAGGTGTACATACTCATGTAAACGTACATATATAAGACCACTACACACACACATACACACACACACACACACACACACACACACACACGCATGCGCGCGCACACACACACACACAGATGCACATAGGTGCACATACTCATGCGAACGTACATATACAAGCCCACTACACACACACACACACACACACAGAGATGCACATAGGTGTACATACTCATGCAAACGTACATATACAAGCCCACTACATACACACACACACACACACACACACACACACACACACACACACAATATCAGCAAGATAGCAAGACAAAGAAAGGTACCTGCCACCAAATTTGGTCCCTGAGACCCACATAACAGGAGGAGAGAACTGACTCCTGCAAGTTGTCCTCTGACCTCCACAAGTGTGCCATAGCAATCAGATACCAATATACATACACACAAAATAACTAAATAATGTTTTAAATAAAGAAATGTAAATGTAGTCCCAGGGTGTCTCTTGAAGGGCACCTGGTAAGGTTTTAACTGGAAAGGTAAGAGCCTAGATCTCAGGGATGCAGGAGGAGTCTTCACTGTAAATAGAAGGGCTTTGTTGTTGTTGCTTTAATTACATGTGTGTGCCAAAAAAATTAAAAATTGAAAAGTCGGGTTGAATGGGCAGACTTTTAATCCCAGCACTCAGGAGGCAGAGGCAGGCAAACTCTGAATTAGAGGCCAGCCTGGTCTACATGATGAATTCTAGCATGGCCAGAGCTATCTAGTGAGATCCTGACTCAGAAAAAAGAAAAGAAAGAGAAAAAAAAAATCGTGTCTGTGTGCATGTGTCCACAGGGAAGATAGATGTCTGACCTCCTGAAGCTGGAGTTACAGGTGGTTGAGAGTTACCTGATGTGGGTGCTGGGAATTGAAGAGCAGAAAGTACTATTAGTCAATAAACCATCCCTTCAGCCATGTTTTTGCTTTGTTTTCTTTTAGCTATTTTTGTTACCTATTTATTGGGGAGTAAGGTGCTGCAGATCAAACCCAAGACTTCATGCATTTAAGACAAGTGATGCGTTTATCTAGTTACTCTTCTTTTTTTTTAGATTTAATTATTTATTATGTATAGTGTTCTGTCTGCATGTTTGCCTGAAGGCCAGAAGAGGGCGCCAGATCTCATGCAGCTGGTTGTGAGACACCATGTGGTTGCTGGGACTTGAACTCTGGACCTCTGGAAGAGCAGCCAGATGCTCTTAGCTGCTGAGCCATCTCTCTAGGCCCTAGTTATTCTTTATCAATAAAGACTCGGGAGTCAGATATCGGGGTAAGAACTTGAATGATCAGAGAAGTGGGGGAGAAGTGGCCAGTGAGTGACCTCCTACCTCTTTCGTTCCTCCATCCAAAAGGGCTGAGACCCTCTCTAAGCCCTGCTCTACTACTTCCTGTCTCTCTATCTGTCCTCAGGCCTCCAAAACCTCTATGATTAATTTTGGTCAGCTGGTAGTTAGCTCCACCCTCTGATTCAAAGCAAACTTTATTGTCAGAATGCAATCAAAATATCACATAACAGACAAGCACTCTACCAACCGAGTTCCTAAAGAGAGCTAATAGTTTTGTTTTTTGTTTTTTTGGGTTTTTTTTTTTGAGACAGTGTTTTACTGTGTAGTCCGAGCTGGCCTACAACTTGCTATGTAGCGCTGACAGGCCTTGAACTCACAGAGATCCGCCTGGCTGAGTGTCCGGAGGGCTGAGATTCAAGAGGTGCAGCACCATACCTGACAAGCACTCAGCAGATGCCATAGCTTGAGTGTGGAAGTGAAAGGATCGCTTTTGGGAGTCAGTTCTCTCCTCCTGTGGATTCCGGGGATCGAACTCTGGTCATCAAGCTTATTCAGCAAGCTCTTTTACTCACTTGAGCCATCTTGCCAGCCCTGTACACACTCCTTTAGAAAAAGGAAGTTCGTTTCTGGGTTGGCAACCTGCACAGCAAATGTTCATTGTGCTGGAACTTTTGACTCTCCACTGGCCAGGGGCTTCAGTCAGACTCTACCGCCAGCCTTTTCTCCTCAGGTTCCCAGGAGTTTGCCTCAAAACCAAAGAAGAACGTGCAAAATGTGGTAAGATGAGTGCAAGCGTGGTATTTGAAATTCCTGGTGTCCCTGCTGCTGAATCTGGATGGGTATTTTTAGAATTTGAGTTGGATTGGCAGTTAAAGCGGTTCTCATCTGCAATGAGAGGAGTTTCACTGGATGGGTGGTAAAAGCATGTTTCTAAAATTCGAAACAGATTCGGGCCTTGGATTTGACAGACTCAGCTCTACTTCAGGAAGGAGAGGCACCTACCCGTGAGCCTTCAGAGAGCTACAGACTAAGAGACAGTGAAAGAGGCATTGGCAGTCCCGTGCTGGGTTTTGTTTGTTTTTGAAACAGTGTCTCATGGAGCACAAGCTGGCCTCCAGCAACTGACCTGGACCTTCTGACTCCCCTGCCTCCACCTCCTGGAGCTGGGATCATAGACAGGTTACGTGATGCCCAACAGAGTTTATGTGATGAGGCCCGGTGCTTCAGCAACTGGAGATAGTAGCTGTTTCTCACTGGGGAGGCTGTCAACCCAGGAGGAGTTGCTCAACCCAAGGGGCTGGGTGCCTCTGTAGTCCCAACCTGGCACGGAAGATGGGGAAAGTTCCTGAAGTACTTCTGGTCCTCGGTCTGGAATGGAAGCCTGGAAACGCTGGCTGTGCTATTAGGAAAGGAATTGGCCGCAGCGGCATCAAGGAAGGCCAAGGGAGTCATCTTACATCTGCTACGCCCTTTCCACCTGAATTGCTGCCAGAAAGCGTCACTCACAATCGTCTTTCCACATGGTTTAAGGCAATCAGGACACGCGGAGGGGAGATGCTCAGGTGATTCTGATTCGTGACAATGTGACATGCGGCATTTGCATGTTTGGTACAATTACGGACAGAGGGAGCAGAATAACGAGTTCAATTGATCCAATTTCCTTAGTGTTATGATATTGTATTGTATGCGGGAAGTCCTGGCAGGTAGAGGGCCTGGCGGGGGGTAGAGCCAAGGTGCCCCATGGCGGGTGAGAGTCACCATGCAGACAGCGCTCAGTGAAGTTTTATTTGGTAGCAGGGAAGAGAGAGGGGAGAGAGAAAGAGGGAAAGAGAAAGAGAGCGAGCGAGGCACCTCGTGGGAGGAAAGCAGAAGAGAGAGAAGAAGGGGCGGAGTTTGGGCGGAGTTTTTCCTTTTACACGCAGGGTGGCGCCAAGGGGCAGGATTTCAAGGGACAGGTCAGAATATTAACATTTAGTGTTTACTAAATTCCTGTTCCAGGATCCAGTCACCACCCTTCTTGACACTTGTTATTCATGAACTTCAAGACTGCCGGATCATAAGAGTTCTTCAGATCACACTACACATACCCTGCCTTTTTTTATTTTTATATTTTGGAGACAGTGACTAATGGAGCCCAGACTGGCATCAAATTTGATACGTAGCCAAGGATGACCTCAAAACCTTCGATCCTCCATGGTTATCTTTCCCAGTACTGGAATTTACAGGCTTGCTGCACCACTAAGCACCAACATTTAAATGAGTCTAGGTTGTTCGTTTCTCTCTTTGCCTTCCATACTCAACAGAACATGCTTACATTCCCTGCAGAGACGGCTTGCTGGTTAAGAGCACTTAATGCTCTTGCAGAGGACTTGGATTTATTTCCCAGCACCCACGCCCGACAGCTCACAACTGCCTGTAATTTCAGTTCAAGGGGAATCAAAGGCTCTCTTCTGGCCTCAGAGTATACCTGCATGCAAGAGATTCACATACACTCAAACACACACTCATGTATTCACAGAAGCTTAATTTTTTTTTTTTTAGATTTTTTTTTAAAGATTTACTTATTTTATTTTATGTGTATGAGTGTTTTACCTGCATGTATGTATGGACACTGGATACACGCCTGGCACCTGAGGAGGCCAAAAGAGGGTGCCCCAAGACCCGGAAACGAGAGTTAAAGATAGCTGTGTCACCATGGGGGTGCTGGAAACTGAGTGAAGGATCTCTACAAGAATCTCAATTACTGTTTTATTATTATTATTATTATTACTGTTTTGTTTTGATTTGTTTTTCAAGACAGGGTTGCTCTGTGTAGTTTTGGTGCCTGTCCTAGATCTCACTCTGTAGACCAGGCTGGCCTCGAATTCACAGAGATCCACCTGGCTGTGCTTCCCGAGTGCTGGGATTAAAGGCATGCGCCACCACCACCACCCCCCAATTTTTAAAAATTATAAAAATAAAGAGGTCAGGATCAGGCATGGTGGTCCACGCCTCTAATCCTAGCACTCCAGAGGCAGAAGGAGACAGATCTCCATGAGTTCTTTGCCAAGCTGGTTTACATAGGGAGTGCCAGGACAGCTAGGGCTACATAGAGCGATTCTGTCTCAAAAAACAAATCATTATAATGATGGTGATAAAGAATTCAAGGTCATCCTTGGTTACATGACAAGTTGGAGGTTAGCCTTGATCACACAAGACCCTGTCTTGACAAACAAACAAAAAATAAAATTTAAGTTTAAATCAAGTCCACAGGGGCTGGAGAGATGACTTGGTAGTTAAGAGCACCAGCAGCTCTTCCAGAGGTCCTGGGTTCAATTCCCAGCACCCACATGGCAGCTCATAACTGTCTGTAACTCTACTTTCAGGGGACCCAACGCCCTCACAGAGATATACATGCAGGCAAAACACTAATGTTCATAAAATAAAAATAAGTTAATTAAACAAACAAAAAAGCACGTCCAGAGCCGGGCGGTGGTGGCGCACGCCTTTAATCCCAGCACTCGGGAGGCAGAGCCAGGTGGATCTCTGTGAGTTCGAGGCCAGCCTGGTCTCCAAAGCGAGTTCCAGGAAAGGCACAAAGCTACACAGAGAAACCCTGTCTCGAAAAACCAAAAAAAAAAAAAAAAAAAAAAAGCACGTCCAGGTTTCAGGGTGCCCTCAAAAAAAGCAGAAGCAGGAGGATAAGGAAACTGAGGTTAATCACGGCTGCTTACTGATTTTCTTCCCCCCTCCCCCCTTACTGATTTTCAAGCCAGCGTAGTCTACACAAACCACTTCTCATAAACAAGCGTGGGGAGTGGGTACTTGTGGCTCCAGGTGCAGTTCCCAACACTGCAAACAAGTTACTGGTGGTCTCAATAAAAATAAAGCAGTAGCAAACCTTTAAAGTCTTATGCTCTGAATATCTTGGAAGAAAGCTCCCTTCCCCTGAGCAGCAAATCCCTGCACACTGTGTGGACCAGTTGGTTCCTAAGGCAGTAGATGAAAGGGTTCAGCAGGGGTGACACTGTCGTGTTGAAGAAAGCTATTCCTTTGTTGAGGTCCAGCCTCCCTGTCTGTGTGGGGTTCAGGTACATGATGATGCAGCTCCCATACGTGAGATACCACCAGGATGTGGGAAGAACAGGTGGAGAAGGCCTTGCTTCGGCCCCCAGCTGCAGGCAGGCGCAGGATGGTGCTGATGATGCAGCCATAAGACAAGGTTGTGATCAGTGTAGCAATGAGCAGGGTGCACACAGCCACCAGGAAGGCCACCAGCTGCAGAAGCCTGGTGTCTGCACACGCCAGCTCCAGCAAAGGGGAGCTGTCGCAGAAGAAGTGATTGAGGACTCGCGGGCCACAGAAAGGGAGAGATAACATCCAGGCAAACAGCCCAGGCAGGGCCAGGAGGGTGACTGCCCAGCAGGCCAGCACCAAGGAGGAGCAGACACGGGGTGTCATGAGCGCGGGGTAGCGCAGGGGCCGGCAGATGGCCAGAAAGCGGTCGGTGGACATCACGGCCAGCAGCAGGGTCTCCACCGCGCCCAGGGTGAAGTAGAGAATCATCTGCGCAAAGCAGCGGTGGCGGGAGATGGCCCCGCGCGCCGCCAACAGGTGTGCCAGCAACTGCGGAGACACAGTGGACGTGAAACCCACCTCCAGCAGCGAGAAGTGGCGCAGGAAGAAGTACATCGGGGTGTGCAGGCGGCGGTCCGCCAAGGTGAGGGCGACGATGAGCAGATTCCCCAGCAAGGTCAGCGTGTAGGTGACCAGAAGGACCCCGAAGAGGAGGAGCTGGAGCCCGCGCTTGTCGGTGACCCCCAGAAGCACGAACTCCAGCACTGAGGAGCGGTTGGCCGTGGGGATGGGCGCAGAGACCTCCATCCGTGAGAGCTGCGGGGACTCTGTGTGGGTCTTAGTGACCTCGGAAATGCAGGGGCAGTCAGTGTCAGTCACAAAAGAGCACTGCCAATCCAATGCAGGACATAAAGCAGCGCTTGGCGCATCGTGAGCACGTGAACACCGCATGAATGTGAGCTATCTCCACTGCTCAGCCGCACAAGGATGGAAAAGAATTTAGACCTCTATGGTAACGCACTCCTTTAATGCCAGCTGTGGGCGGCTGAGGAAGCACGATTGGGAGTCCCTTATCAGCCTCAGTTACATAGAAGTTTCAGGCTAACCAGGGCGCCCATTTCAAAGATTCTGAGATTCCATTTCAAAAGGCACTTTTTAAAAAAGATTTATTTATTTATATATATATATATATTTTTGTATATGAATGCTCTGTTTGCATGTATGCCAGCATGACAGAAGAGGGTATCAGACAGAAGAGGGCATCAGATTCCGCGGTTGCTGGGAATTGAACTCAGGACCTCTGGAAGAGCAGCCAGTGCTCTTAACTGCTGAGCCATCTCTGCAGCCTAAGATTCCACTTCAAAAAAAAAAATTCACAAAAATATTACTTTAATTGGATGATTTTTGTCTCCTGCTCCCCCCAAGATGCTTGTTAGGTACTGAATGAAAATTTGCTAATCCAGCCTGATGGGTATGATGATCCACTTGGGGGAGAGACCTTATTCTTTGCAACGATTTTCTTATATATGGACTGAGTTTATTATAGTTTGGAAGTGACCAGGTCATAGACAATTTTTGATTCATTTCCTACAACTGTCACGTTGCTTATTTATCAGTTTGAATGGTAAAATGTATTTTTGGTAAGTGCAGAAACTATTTTTGAGTCCTTCGCTTCCTTGCAGGAACACTGGTGGAGATTCATGATACCAGCTGGGACTGACTGCACACACCCACTCTCAGTACTTTCATGCTTCCCTGTTTCTCTGCGACCTCCACCTTCATAGCGAATGGATTGACTTCGGATCACAAAACAGGAAGGTTGGGTGTGGGGATGCATACCAGCAGTTTCAGTGCATGAGAGGTTGAGGCAGACACATCACGGGCTTGAGGCTTAACCTGAGCTGCACTGTGAGACTCTGCTCTGAAATAAAAAAAAAAAAAAAATTACCTGGAATTTTTCAGTCCCCTTTATCATGAAGGGCCAAGGTACTTATTCTCAAGTTTTCCCATAGAAGCACATGGCAGGAATGGACTAACGTGAGAGGTTCCTTAGTCAAACCAGCCCAAATGACAGAGACAAGGACTCCTCAGAGCAGAATAGAAACAGATACACACAGTCAGACCCTGCTGTGGTGATAGTGTAATAAATATATAAGTAAACTATAAAATAAACTAATAAAACTTAGTCTGAAAGATCAGAGAAGCAGAGCAAGCCACAGCCATCACCTCTTACCTCACCAACTCCACGAATCCTCTGACTGAAATTCTCTGAGTCCTCAACCAAAAGACTCCAGCTGAAAAAGCCTCTAGCTGAGAAGCCCTTAGTTCCTGTCTCCTCATGCGTTATGTACCTTTTTCCGCCCAGCCTTCACTTCCTGGCATTAAAGGCTTGTGTGCTTCCCAGTACTGGGATTAAAGGTGTGTGCCACCACTGCCTGGCCTCTATGTTTTATCTAGTGGCTTGTTCTGTCCTCTGATCTTCAGGCAAATTTTATTAGGGTACACCATATATCACCACACCCTGTAAGGCAGTGGTTCTCAACCTGTGGGCTGTGACCCTTCTGAGGGTCAAATGACCCTTTCACAGGGGTTGAATATCAGACATCCTGCATGTCAGATATTTACATTACAATTTGTAACAGCAGCAAAATTACAGATGTGAAGTAGCAACGGAAATAACTGTATGGTCGGGGTCACCAGAACATGAGGATCTCAGCGTCAGGAAGGTTGAGAACACAGCAGGGGTCCACGGAGATGGAGATGAGGAAGGGAGGCAGCTGGGAAAAAGCACACAAGACAAGGGGTGGCCGGAGAGCCGGGGGGAAAGGGAAGACAGGAACCACAGGAAGACAGAAGACAAGAAAAATGACAGAGACACAGAAAGGAAAGGACTAGGAAGCCCACAGGAAGGCAAGGAGAGGGACAAAAGAAAGATTTTTAGGTCCTTGAGAGACATGGAGTGGCCCTGCTCTCCAGAGACACTATTATTGCAGGAGCCAGTGTGAAGATAAAGGACCTTGCCCTCTCAGCTTCCCCAAAGCCTCAGACCTCAGGGACCCAGAAAACATCTAAAATTTTCATCCTCCTTAAGGGAGTGATTAACTCGACTTCCTTCAGATGTTGCCCATGGGAACTTGTTTGGAGTCTCATCTTTATTTTATTTATGTATTTATGATTATTATTTATTGGAGGATGGAGAGTGAGCTCATTGGTTAAGAGTAGCTGCAGATTGGCCAGCCAGTGGTGGCACACGCCTTCAGTCCCCGCCCTTGGGAAGCAGAGGCAGGTGGATCTCTGAGTTTGAAGTCAGCCTAGTTACAGAGTGAGTTCCAGGACAGCCAGGGCTGCACAGAGAAACCCTGTTTCAAAACAAACAAACAAACAAATAAACAAAAAGAGTAGTTGCAGGTCTGTTTTCCAGCTCCCACATGACTGCTCACAACCATCTATAACTCAAATACCAGGTGATGTCACTCTGTTCTGGCTCCTGTGGGCACTGGGCATATACATGGTGCAAAGACATACATTCAGTCAAAACACTCACCTGTAATAAAAACAAACAAATCTAAAAATATTTAAAAGAATATCTTTTATGTATTCTTTGATAATTTCATACATATATTTACAATGTGTGTATATCTACCCCTCCACTCCCCACTCTCATAGACACCCATTCACAGGTCCTTTTCTAACTTCATGTTCTCTTCCTTTTATTTTTTCCTTTGCTCTTTCCGAGACAAGGTTTCCCCACGTAGCCTTGGCTGTCCTGGAACTCCCTCTGTAGATCAGGCTGGCACCAAACGCTGAACTCAGAAACCTCAGAGACTGCCTCCCAAGTGCTGGGATCAAAGACGTGCACCGCCACCACCCAGCTTGTTGGTTCTTTGTTTGTACATTTTGATTTGGTTTGTTTTGATAAACCACTGAGTCCAGTCAGTGCGACCTGTTGGAATGCTGACATTAGCTTGACAGCATTAGCTTAATCTTGTTCAGGTAACCACGGCTACAAAAGCCCTGTCCTGTCCAGAAGACAGATTCTATAGCTCTCCTCATTCTCCAGATCTTGATTTCTTTCCACTTCTTCTTCTGTGACATTCCCTGAGCCTTTGGGGGAATGATTAATAGAAATGCCTTGTGTAGGGATGAGTACCAAACAGTCCCTTGTTATCAGCACTTTGAGGATTATGTGTTTCTACCTTGTTGCCCACACAGGAACGAGACATTTCTGGTGAGGGTTAAGAGCAGTACTCATCTATGAGTATTAACATAAATATTTAGAGGGCAGTGCCACAATACAACTGTTTATTTAAAAGATTTATTTATTTTATTTTATGTGTATAAGTGCTTTGCCTGCATGCATGGAACATGCATCCAGTGCCCTGGGAGGTCAGAAAAGAACATCAGATGCTCATGAACTGGAATTACAGATGGTAGCCACCATGTGGGTGCTGAGAATTGGACCTGGGTTCTCTGCAAGAGCAACCACTGTTCTTAACCTCTGGGCCACTTCTCCAGCCCTTTTTAGCACACACATTTAAACAAAACAACAGTACTAGGTTCTTTTCTATGAACTATGACCTCCTGGAGACTCAGGGTTTTTTTGTTTTGTTTTTCGAGACAGGGTTTCTCTGTGTAGCTTTGCGCCTCTCCTGGAACTCACTTGGTAGCCCAGGCTGGCCTCGAACTCACAGAGATCTGCCTGCCTCTGCCTCCTGAGTGCTGGGATTAAAGGCGTGCGCCACCACTGCCCAAGACTCAGTTTTTGTCTTTTGTTTTTTGAGACTCAGGTTTTAGGAGAGCTTAGTTGAGTTTATCCCTGGCTCTCTATTTAAACTTTAATCTCTCTTCAGGGATCTGAAGAGAGATTTGAGTGGAAGAGAGTCTTAAGTGGAGCAGTGATCACTGGATCACTTTGTACTCTCTTCCCAGTGTGGCTGAATTGAAAAAAAAATCTGCTTTTTATTGTTAATTTAGCTATTTTCATTGGCTTCTTAAGGATGGGTAGCCCAAGCTGACTTCTGGTGGCACAGACTGTAAATATGAATTTGGTAGCACCACTGTGCCTGGTAACATGAGCTTTAAAATTAATTTTCTTTGTTTGTTTGTTTGTTTGTTTGTTCTGTTGTTTGTCTTCCTTAGTCAAATAAATATGCCTTCTTTTGGCTGCAGAGATGGCTCAGCAGTGAAGTGCACTGGTTGCTCTTCCAGAAGACCTGGGTTCCATTCCCAGCAACTACATGACAGCCACAATCATCTGTAACTCCAGTCCCAGGGAACCTTTCTTCTGGCCTCTCTCTGTGGGCACTGCATACAAGCGGTACTCAGATACATGCAGACAAAATACCCCCCCCCAGACACACAAAATAAAATAAATAATAAATAAATAAAAATAAAGGAAAAAATGATTCCACTTTGATTCAACCAACAAGACCTGGTGCTCATGCCAATTCCAGCCACTCAGGAGACGGAGGCCAGAGGATGGAGATGCCAAGACCTTCATCACTTACAGTGTGAGTTCGAGACCAGCTTTAATTCAGCAACTTCTTGAGACAGTGTTTGAAAATAACAAAGGAAAAGAGGGCTGAGGGTGTAGCTCAATCGTGGAGCACTTGGCCTCACCGTGAGCATAGTCCCTGTGTTCAAACCACAGAAAACCAAAACACACACATCCACAATAACTAATAAGCAAATCAATAACAATGCCGATACACCAAGAGCACAGCTTCACAGTCTTATGCTCTGAATATCTTGGAAGAAAGCTCCCTTCCCCTGAGCAGCAAATCCCTGCACACTGTGTGGACCAGTTGGTTCCTGAGGCAGTAGATGAAAGGGTTCAGCAGGGGTGACACTGTCGTGTTGAAGAAAGCTATTCCTTTGTTGAGGTCCAGCCTCCCTGTCTGTGTGGGGTTCAGGTACATGATGATGCAGCTCCCATAGCTCATCGACACCACCAGGATATGGGAAGAACAGGTGGAGAAGGCCTTGCTGCGAGCCCCAGCTGCAGGCAGGCGCAGGATGGTGCTGATGATGCAGCCATAAGACAAGGTTGTGATCAGTGTAGCAATGAGCAGGGTGCACACAGCCACCAGGAAGGCCACCAGCTGCAGAAGCCTGGTGTCTGCACACACCAGCTCCAGCAAAGGGGAACTGTCGCAGAAGAAGTGATTGAGGACTCGCGGGCCACAGAAAGGGAGAGATAACATCCAGGCAAACAGCCCAGGCAGGGCCAGGAGGGTGACTGCCCAGCAGGCCAGCACCAAGGAGGAGCAGACGCGGGGTGTCATGAGCGCGGAGTAGCGCAGGGGCCGGCAGATGGCCAGAAAGCGGTCGGTGGACATCACGGCCAGCAGTAGGGCCTCCACCGCGCCCAGGGTGAAGTAGAGAATCATCTGCGCAAAGCAGCGGTGGCGGGAGATGGCCCCGCGCGCCGCCAACAGGTGTGCCAGCAACTGCGGAGACACAGTGGACGTGAAACCCACCTCCAGCAGCGAGAAGTGGCGCAGGAAGAAGTACATCGGGGTGTGCAGGCGGCGGTCCGCCAAGGTGAGGGCGACGATGAGCAGATTCCCCAGCAAGGTCAGCGTGTAGGTGACCAGAAGGACCCCGAAGAGGAGGAGCTGGAGCCCGCGCTTGTCGGTGACCCCCAGAAGCACGAACTCCAGCACTGAGGAGCGGTTGGCCGTGGGGATGGGCGCAGAGACCTCCATCCGTGAGAGCTGCCGGGAGTCTGTGTGGGTCTTAGTGACCTCGGAAATGCAGGGGCATCAGTGTCTGTCACAAAGAATACTGGAGATAAAAATATATGGCATTTAGGACAGACAGCATTTGTCATACGTGAAAACCGCACGGATGTGAACCCATTTGCATTAAATGATAATGATGGGAATGTATTAGATTAGTGTAATGACACAGCCCTCTATGCCTAGTACTTGGGAGGCTGATGGAGAAGGACCAGGAATTCAAGAGCATCTTCAGCTACACAGGAAGTTGCAGGACAACCTGGACTACATGAGACCCCATTTCAAAAATCCCAAGGAAGAAGGAGAAGAAAGAAAGAAGAGATTGAGGAGGACTAAGAGGAGGAGGAGGAGAAAGAGGAGGAGGAGGAGGAGGAGGAGGAGGAGGAGGAGGAGGAGGAGGAGGAGGAGGAAATATTGGAAGAGAAAATAAGAAGGAGGAGGAAGAGGAAAGAGAAGAGGAGAAAGAGGAATTTTGGTTCCTGCTTCCCCAAGTCCTTTGTTAGGAACTGAGAGGAAACTTTGACGATTCTTTTCGCTAAATTTGACAATCCACTTGGGGTGAGACCTGTTCTTTGCAGGGATTGTCTTATGTATGGACTGAATGAATGTGGTTTGGGATTGGTCAGTAATTCAGAGAATTTGGTTTTTGTACACTGCCATGTTGTTTGTCTATGTGTTGGAAGATAAAATCAGTTTTTATGAGAGCATATGTCTCACTGTGTAGACCAGTCCGCCCTCAAACTCACAGAGATCCACCTGCCTCTGCCTCCTGAGTGCTGAGATTAAAGGCATGCACCACCACCGCCCAGCTAAAATCAGTTTTTATATGGGCATATGTCTCACTGTGTAGACCAGGCTGGCCTCAAACTCAGAGAGATACACACGCCTCTGCCTCCCCAGGGGCTGGGATTAGAGGTGCTGGCCTCTGTCCCTGGTTTAGAGCATATGTCCTTTAAATGTCACTTGCTGAGTCTTCTCAAATGTAGCCAGGACACAGAGCAAGAAGCAGAACACAGCCTGGGCAGGTGGATCCCCTGCCGTCTCAGTACTGGGGAGGCTGAAGCGGGAGGATTGATGTAAATACAGGATCAGCCTGTGTCACAGATTGAGTTCAAACTGATTTGGGTTACAGAGTGAGACTCTGTCTTGAAAGAGAGAAAGGGATGCGGAGAAGGGATGAGCAAAGAGAGGGAGATAGGGAGGAAGGACGAGAAAAAATAAGAAGGGATATGGACAGGTGGCTTGAAGGATGGAGATGCTTGCTACAGCACCGTACAACCTGAGTTCAAGTTTTAGGTCCCCCATGTGAGACAAGAGAATGAACTCCTGTAAGCTGTATTCCGACCTCTACATGGTCCCTTCAGTAAATAAACGCAGTTTTTAAAATGAGGGAGAGATGGGCTGGAGAGCCAGCTCGGCAGTCAAGAGCTGTTGTGGCTGTTGCAGAAGACCCATGTTTGAGTCCAGCATCCATGTTGTGTGACTCACAACCACCAGTAAGACTAGCTCCAGGAGATCCGACACACTATTCTGGACTCTGTTGGCACCTGCACTCACATGTGCCCCCCACCTGCACTCACATGCAGACACAAATACACGTACTTAACAATAAAAAAAAATTATTTTTAAAAATCATGAGAAGAAAGAAAACAGGAAGGAAGGATGGATGGGAGGAAGGAAATACCACCCACAAACTGCTGCTCTGGGAAGACTAGAAGACAGTACCACCTTCTGTAAGAGAATCACAATGGAAAGAACTAGAGATCTGCCTAGAGATGAGTTGATTGACAGTTGGAGAAAAACGTCTATCCCTGCTGCTGTCAGCCACTGGACTGGTCCACAGAACATAACTAGCAAAGTCCTTCTTTGTTTTCATATGTCTAGTTCATCCAGATCAGATGTGCTGACCAAGACATAGCACAGTGCTTGAGTAAAAGCCACATCTGTACTTTTATTTCTTCGTGGGGCCAGGGTCTCGTGTAGTCCAGGTTGGCCTGAAACTCCCTATGCAACAAAGGATAACCTTGAGCTTCTGATCCCGCTGGCTCTCCCTCCCAAGTGCTGGGATAGCAGCCCGGTGCCACTGTGTCACCTTTTATATGGTGTTGGGAATAGAACCTGAGTCATCCTGCATGCTAGGCAAGTATTCTCCCAACCCAGCTTCGTCCTCAGCTCTTAAGCCAAGTTTTGAATGTACATCTTACCACAGCTCCTCAGCAAATGGTAATTAAGTGAACAGATAAGTAGTGAGTGCTCTGAAGAGAATGAATGGAAATATGAAGAAAGGAATAACTATGAGAAGATGGGTCATTAGATGTGTTGATGAATGAGTGAGAAAGGGAAGTGAGCTGCAGACTGAATTGCAGAGCTGAGGGATGACTCTGCCAGGCTCAGACACCGTGAATGGCTCAGGATCCTGGGTATGACTCACTCCGATCCCGTCACAAGAACAAGGGCGCTATGGGGCCTTATGAACTTCAGCATTCTTCTTGGTCCGTTACAGAGACATCTCCCAAACCCACACACAGCAAGTGGCTGGGGGGAAATTCCCTGTTTGAGCCTCAATCTCTGTCCCCTCTAAGGTGACGCTAATACCTCCTTGGTCTTTCCCATCCGTGTGTCGTGACATCCTAACAAAACGGTGAATATGAAGTAACATGTTATAATGTGTGCTGCAAAAAGGAAAGTTAATTCCAAGCTCACACTCCCTCTAAAGCACTGTGCTTGGCTTCCACAGGCTCTGTCTGTCCTGCTAAAGATCACCACTCAAACCTTAGCTTGCCAAGAGGCTGTGCCTAAAGGTATCCGCGCTGCCTTCCTCACCTCTTTTGGGCTCATGGCAGGAAAACCATCCAAAGGTGGTCCGACCATTCACCTTCCTCTCATAACCCTATTCCAGCTGCATTAGAAAGCCTAAAATGAGCTGGGTGTGGGAGGGGGAGGCAGGTGGAGCTCTGTGAGTTCAGGGCCAGCCTGGTCTAGAGCAAGTTCCAGAACAGCCAGGGATTTACACAGAAAAACCATCTCAGCCTCCCCCCCCCCCCAAAAGAGCCCCTGCACAGGTCTCTCTTCTGCATCTTTGTTTATTTTCTGCTGCTTTGTGGCCCCCAACTTTCTAGCAAATGACTGGAAACCACAAAACAGGGGAGAGCTGGCATGGTGGCGCAAGCCTATAACCTCAGCACTCGGACCGTTGAGGCAGGAGCATTATGAGTTGGAGGCATGCCTGCACTACACAGCAAGCCTCCCCCCTGAAGAAAAGATTTTTTTTTTTTTTACCTGGAATTCATTAGCCTCCTCTATCACGAAGGGTCAACGTTCTGATTCTGGAGTTTTTCCGCAGAGGCGCATGGCAGGAAATGGGTTTAAGAAAGAGTCTCTCCAGGGAAACGGAGACAGACACATAAGGACGGCCAGGCAGACTCTGTAAAAGAAAAGCATGACAAGGACTAGAGACTGGGAAGAGGCGGCTGGGGAGAAACAAGAGGTCAGAGAGCTGGAGTGGGGGAGACACCGTAAAAGATAGAGCGACAGTAGAAACAGAGGCTCGGGGGAAGGCAAACCGAGAGAGAGACAAAAGAAAGCCTCTGAGGTCCTTGAGAGACACCGAATGTCCTGGACTCTAGAGATACTATTATTTCAGGGTCCAGGTCACACTCCAGTGTGAAGGGGAGGGACTTTTCCTTCAATTCCCTAATTCCTCTGGCCTTAGGGACAAAGAACATTTATAAAATTGTAGTCATCCTTAGGGGACTGATTAACTCAACTTCCTTCAAGTATTGCTCATGGGGACTTGTTTGGATGTTTGCATTTTGGAGAGAGTTGTACACACACACACACACACACACACACACACACACACACAATTTGGTTTCTGCAAGAACGGTATAACCACTGGTTCCATTCGGAAAAGAGACCAAGCAAGGGTAAGACCATTAAAGGGTGGATACTAGCGAACTTGTGTGTCACCAGAGTTCATTCAATAGGTGTATGTGATAAAGATTAGCCTTGGCTGGGTGTGGTAGCACTAGCCTTTAGCTCTAGCACTCTGGAGGCAGAGGAAGGCAGATCTCTGAGTTCGAGGCCAGCCTGGTCTACAGAGTGAGTTCCAAGACAGCCAAGGCTACACAGAGAAAACCTTGTCTTGAAAAACCAATAAATTGGGCTGGAGAGATGGCTCAGAGGTTAAGAGCAGTGACTGCTCCTCCAGAGGTCCTGAGTTAAATTCCCAGCAACCACATGGTGGCTCACAACCGTCTAATATGAGATCTGATGCCCTCTTCTGGGGTGCAGACAGAACACTGTATACATAATAAATAATAAATCTTAAAAAAAGAAAGAAAGAAAAACCAATGAGTTGTCAGTCAATCAATCAATAAGAATGAGGGTTAGGCCGGGCGGTGGTGGCGCACGCCTTTAATCCCAGAACTCGGGAGGCAGAGCCAGGTGGATCTCTGTGAGTTCGAGGCCAGCCTGGTCTACAGAGTGAGTTCCAGGACAGGCACCAAAACTACACCGAGAAACCCTGTCTCAAAAAACAAAAAACAAAAGAATGAGGGTTAGGCAAAGGAAAGTATGGTAGGAGGAGCAAATGAGGCTGAGCGTCTGTGTTGTAAGAAGACTCTCAAAGACAGCCATTGCTGACGAAAGGGCCTGTTGCGGGAATGCAGAAAATACGAGAATATGGAAAACTAGGATCAATCAAATGGAGGTTGTAGCTTCGGGACAGAACAGAGTAACTCTCAGGGCAGGAAGGGAGACCAGGAAGCAGGAATAAGCACATCTGGATACTGGAGACTGTGTATAGAAGATCAAGCATTTATTTATCTATTTATTTTTGAGACAGAGCCTTTTTGTGTAGTCCTGCTTATCCTGGAGCTGAATATGTAGGCCAGGCTGGCCTCAAACTCCTGATCCTCCCGCCTCTGCCTCCTGAGTGCTGGGATTAAAGGCGTGAGCCACCACTGCCTGGCTTCAAATACTTTTTTTTTTTGGTTTTTCGAGACAGGGTTTCAAATGCTTTTTAAACAGAGTGTTCCATTTGAAAATGGAAAGCAAGCTATATTTGAGCAGGTATGAGCTTTCAACTAGTTTTCCTTGTTGCTTTAAGGTAAGATCTCTCTGGCCTGGAACTCTCTGTGTAGAACTGGCATTAATCTTTCTGCACGTTGGGATTATAGTCCTGTACTGCTACACCCTGCTTATTTTTTTTTTTTTTACATTTTTTTCCCCTTAACATCCCAAGGAGTTTCATTTCGGTTACTTACAAGAGGCTTTACTTATAGGCATCTTTCCAACGGTGACACCATTGGGGGAAAAAAGGATTGTGTTAAAACTCCACGACCAGCCGGGCGGTGGTGGCGCACGCCTTTAATCCCAGCACTCGGGAGGCAGAGCCAGGTGGATCTCTGTGAGTTCGAGGCCAGCCTGGTCTACAGAGCGAGTTCCAGGAAAGGCACCAAAGCTACACAGAGAAACTCCGTCTCGAAAAACCAAAAAAAACCTCCATGATCAAAAGCATTTTGGGAAGGAAAGATTTATTTCATCTTATAACTCTCAGGTCACACTTCATCACTGAGAGAAGTCAGGGTCGTAATTCAAAGCAGGAATCTGGAAGCAAGAACTAAGGCAGAGGCCATGGGAAGGACTGCTTACTGGCTTGCTCCTCATGGCTTCCTCAGCCTGCTTTCTTTTATACCCCAGGAAAACGCGCCATCTACAATGGGCTCAGCCGTTCTACACGAATCATTAATCAAGAAAATGCCCTATAGATTTGCCTACAGGCCAAGTTTATGGAGGCTTTTTCTTGATTAAGATTCCTCCTTTCCAGATAACTCTAGCTCAGTGGTTCTCAACCTATGGGTCATGACCCCCCAAAAGGGGGTCAGATGACCTTCCATAGGAGTCTTCTAAAACCTTCGGGAAACACAGATGTTTACATTATGATTCATAGCAGTAGCAAAATTATAGTTTTGCTATAATTAAGCTAGCAAAGAAAATAATTTTATGGCTGGAGGTCACACATGAGGAACTGTATTAAAGGTTCGCAGCATTCGGGAGGTTGAGAACCACTGCTCTAGATTGTATCAAGCTGACACAAAAACAAGCCAGCTCATTCCACGTCAACCATTCAGTGCCTATAAATTACCAGGGAATGCTGTGATGATCTCACCAGCTCCACTCTCTCTCTCTCTTATTTTTTAAACACTTTTTTTTTCATTTTTTTTCTTTTTTAATTTGAAGACAGGGTCTCCTGTTACCCAAATTGACCTTAAACTTTTATTTATTGCATACAGTGTTCTGCCTGCATGTATGCCTGCACCACCAGAAGAGGGCACCAGATCTCATTACAGATGGTTGTGAGCCACCATGTGGTTGCTGGGACTTGAACTCAGGACCTCTGGGAGAGCTGTCAGTGCTCTTAACCCCTGAGCCGTCTCTCCAGCCCCAGCTCCACTCTCTTATGTGACAAGATATTAACAAGGCCCGTCTGGAGCAGGTTTTGTGCAGGTCATCACAGTCATACCACACCTAGAAATTCCACAACACTCTACCTGCCCCTTGGGCTCTTGAACTATGCTGAGTTATGAGTCCCGGTAGTAACGCCCCCATGTCTCCTGACAGAAGCACACACTAGCACTAATCTACCGGCCTAAACATAGTTATTGTTTGTAGAATGTAATTTGATTGTCTTCCTCGTTAGTATTGTGGTGAATACCCCCGCCTGTCATGCGGGAGACCGGGGTTCAATTCCCTGATGGGGACTCCAAACAGAATGCAATTTGATTGGCATCTCATACTCACTAAACAGAACATAGTGGTAACTTCCTCACTAGGACCTCCCCAGGCACAGGCTAAGAGCACGGGCTGCTCTTCCAGAGGTCTTGAGTCCAATTCCCAAAAACCACATGGCAGCTCATCATCATCTATAATGGGATCTGCCGACCTCTTCTGGTATAAAGTTGTACATGCAGATAGAGCACTCATATAATACGTAAAATAAATAAATAAATAAAATAAAAAAATAAAAATAAAAAAATAAAGCCCAAACTTGCCTCCATTTCACCAGTGGGCACTTCTCTCACGGCTGATGAATGCACCATGCACAGTCCACAGCTAAGGAAGACCGTTGGTGACTTTTCTTCCCCAGCAGCCTGCATCGCACCTTCCAGTGCTCTGATGGTCAGTCGGCAGGGAGGACTCTGATGATCAGCCGGCAGGGAGGTAGCTTTCAATCCAGTTTCAGATTGCTTTCTCTATGTCCCAATCCGAGAGTATGTGGTGTCTTCAGCAATAGGGTCTTACCACCTAGTTCTGGTAGGCAATCAATAGTAAACAGTAGTAATATCAATAGCCTGTATTGTTGCAGAGGGTGTAAGAGACTTCCCTGGATGACTCATAGGGAAGCAGCACACACTGAACACAGGAAGTTTTCATTTCATATCCTTGTTCTGGGACCAGCTCACTCACTCATGCAGCACTTCTGTTTAACTCAGGACCTCTGCAAGAGCAGCCAATGCTCTTAACCTCTGAGCCATCTCTCTAGCCCCCATGTCTTAGAACTCTTGTAGACCAGGCTGGCCTCGAACTCTCAGAGATCTGCCTGCCTTTGCCTTCTGAGTGCTGGGATTAAAGGCATGCACCACCATGCCTGGCACTCTTATCACTTTTTTTTTCTTTTTTAAAAATTATTTTATGTGCATTGGTGTCTTTTGCCTGCATGTATGTCTGTGTGAGGTTGCCAGATCCTTTGGGACAGGAGTTACAGAGCATTGTGAGCTGCCATGCAAAGTGCTGGGAGTTGAACCCGGGTCCTCTGGAAGAGCTGGAAGAGCAGCCAGTGCTCTTAATCACTGAGTCATCTCTCCAGCCTCCTTGTGGCTTTTTTGTACATCTTTAGTTTGGGTTGATTCTCTCCTCTCCTCCTCTCCCCCATCTCCCCTTGAACCTTTCCACAACCATTTTCTTATCATATGGGTTCTACTAATCCCCCAACTAACCCTTAAAGGCTCCTTTTCCCCTCTCTTATGGCCCCATTCTAGTTTCCTAGGCTCTACACACACACACTCACTCCCACATAAATGTGTGTATGTGTGTGTGTGTGTATGTGGGTATATGTGTGTATGTGTGTGTGTATATGTGCATGTGTAATTAATTTATATAATTGAGAATGCAGGATCTAACTATGGAAGCAAGCACGCAGTATCAGTCTTCCTGAGGCTGTTGCCTCACGTAACACCTTTTCTCTCCTACCCGTTTTCCTGAAATTTCATACTTTTATTTCTCTTGATGGCCTAAAACAATTTCATTGAGGATATGTAGCACAGTTTCAGGATCCATCCATGAGTTGATGGACATCTGTACTGATCGAATTTTCTGGCTGTTGTGAATAGAGCAGCAATGAACATGGATAAGCAAGGATCTTCCTGGGAGAATATAGAATCCTTTGAGGACACACCTCAGAGTGATACAGTTGTAATG